TCCATCCACCCACCCACCCAGCACATCCATCCATCCATACACTCAGCATATCCATTCATCCCTCTACCCACCCAGCACATCCATCCATCCGTCCATCCATCCACGCACCCAGCTCATCCATCCACCCACCCAGCACATCCATCCATCCATCCCTCTATCCACCCACCCAGTATATTCATCTATCCATCCATCCACCTAGCACTTCCATCCATCCATCCACCCACCCAGCACATCCATCCATCCCTCTATCCATCCACCCAGCACTTCCATCCATCCCTCCATCCACCCACCCAGCATATCCATCCATCTATCCATCCCTGTACATACACAGCCATCCATCCATACATCCCTGTATGTACATACAAACCCATCCATCCATCTCTGTATACACACACACACACATCCATCCATCCATCCTTGTACATACACATCCATCCAACCTTGCAACTCATTTATCGATCTGGATATCTAATCTACGTATGTCATATCCCCACCCTGCCTTTCTCCATCCCCTGTGTCCCAGACGTACCCGCCATGGGTGTGAGGAGGGGCAGGGTGGCCGGCCGGCCCTACTCACCGTTGGAGTTGTAGCCCCGGCACTGGCGGATGGGGTTACCGTGCCGGACATCCTGGCGCCTGCTCCGCCTGTGGGAGGGGGAGAAGGCACAGACGGAAAGTTGCTCACAGTCTCAGGGCACCCCCAACCACCTGGGGCAGCCCCATAGGTGGAGATTGGCTGCATCATGCGGGGCTTAGTCATCCCCCTCCAGATACCATGGGGATTGGGGCGGAGCCCCTATTCTGCCTCTCATCAAAGATACTGAGTCCCCTGCCCCCACACGCTGCCTCCCAGCACCAGCGCCCTGTTGGCAAACCCAGCCAGTGAGTACAGCGCAGGAGCCCCCGTATAAAGGCCCCTTCCTCTAGCACTGCCTGACCCTGTGCTGGACCCGCGGTATAACTGCCCCCACAGCACAGCTGGGCCGTACCTCTTGGAGGATGCTGAGTAGCGGGAGCAGGCCTTGCCGTCCCAGGCGCAGTAGGGGTCCCTGGCCAGGCAGCAGTCGGCACAGGCCTCCCCATACACGTCGCAGCGGTGCAGGGCCAGGTGGGTCACTCCTATGGCCGAGGCCACGTACAGCTGTTGCTATGGGGCGCAAAGAAGACATGGTGAGATGGCCCCTTGCTGCAGACCCTGCACTGTCCCAGGTGCCAAACCCACCTGTCTTCCCTTGGCCTGGGCGCCCCAAGAGAGGCTGGGATCAAGGAGGGGCTGCCTCTCTGAGAGCGCAGCACTTGTCTGGAAATGGGCGGGAACTCCCCCCTCCCAGCAGATCCCCCCTCCCCGGGGCTGGCTGAGGCAGAGCAAGCGGGTTTCTGGGGCGCCCCGCGCATCTCCCTCCAAGCCGGCCCCCCGATGCTCCCGCAAGCGGGGCTGGGAGCTCAGATCTTTGAGTGGCCCTTCCCCTGCCCGCCCCTGCGAGTTAGCGACAGAGCCCATCTGAAGGTGGAAGCCCTTGGGACACTCGGAGAGTCCCTGTCCGACTAGGAACACGTGGACTCTCCGTCCCTCCTCAGCAGGCGGGAGTGCCGTGGCTGGGCTGGCGTCTGCGCCGGGTGGACGACCCCCGTGAGGACCCCACCCCCTGCAGCGCACCACCCCAGCTTACCCTCTTGGAGGAGATGGTCATGGTCTTGATGGGGGCTGGAACCTGGAATGAGAGCACGGGAGCACAGTGGTTAGTCCGGGCCACTCAGCCCCCTTGGAGCTGCTCCCAATCACAGGGAGCAAAGGGCTGAGAGAGTCAGAAACAAATCCATTGGCATCAAAACCCTTCCCTGGAGCAGCCACACATGCCCCGGGGAGCCAGGGCTCCAACCCCGGCCCCTTAGCGCCGGGAACAGTCTGCTGGCACATGATCTACTGGAGCACTCCCTCAGCAAGCTGCAGTAGCAGGGCTCTTATCCTTCCTGTGGAGCCAGCCAAATGGCACGCTCACCTCCTGCCACTGACCATGCCGGAGGTCAGTGCCCACAGAAGCCGTGGGCCCTGTGATGCCCCCTACTGACACCAGCAAGTGCTGGATCAGGGCCCAGGTGCCCGCCGGGAAGCCACAGATGAGGCTGCAGTGGCGGCCTGCTGCACATGGCTGCTACAGCAGCGGGAGGAAGGGAGGTTCCTCCAGGCGGGGGGCGAGGGAGGGAGAACTGTCCCAGGCCATGACGGGGGGAGGGGGGACACAGCAAGGCCTGAGAGCGCAGTGCGTGCAGGGCCCAGGAGGCGTTACCTTGAACACTTCCACCTCCTCCAGCATCAGCTCCTCGGTCTCCAGGTCATCCTTGGGGAGGACGATCACCTTCTGGACTGTGCCGCGATCTGCAAGGCACAGCCGGCACTCAGCGCCATGCAGGATGGACCCTTCCACCCTGCCATAGCCTGGGGCGCGGGGCCATACCGATGGGGATGGCATGGGAAGGGAGAGGCCAACCTGCCATCACGGCTTTATAAACATGACGAGGCTGGATCAGCACGTGGCTCTTAGCCAGCACAGGGCTCTGGGGCCTGGACTGAACCCCAGAGCCACAGCTTCATCTTCCCTGGGGGGATCCACCAGCCCTGGAGCTGCCCAGAGACACCGGCAGAACCGCGATGCTCGGATCTCTCCAGCAGCTGCTGCGCCTGGCTGGGGATCTCTGACGCGAAGCCTCCGCTGGAGTGCCAGGGGGAGGCGGGCGCCCTGCAGGCAGCACCAGCAGGAGGAACTCACAAAGCTGCTGGCGTCTGCTATGACTTGGGTGTGAGCCCCAGAGATGGGCCCCGCACACCTGGGGAGCTGCAGAACGTGCTGCTCTAACTAACGCGTGCACATGGCACTGGCTGGCCCCTCACCCGCGGGCCGCCAGCACTTCACAGCACATGCCGCTGACTGGGGGAGGGACAGCCCAGCTCCCGTCACTCAAACCAATTGCCTCTGGGGGGAGTGCAGTGGTGGATGAACAGAACATAGCTGCACAATGCAGAGTGAGGCTGGTCTGGGACTCCAATCCTGGGCCTGGGGAGAACTGGCTGGCAGGCAGGGCTGCCCAGGGAGCGAGGGCCCCCACATCCTGCTGGGCACCCCACCCTCGGCCGTGCAGGGGCACAGGTGGGGGAGCTCCTCATTACCATCAAGTGCTGCTGGCGCAGTCGTCTGCATCCAGGCACCAGCGCGATCCCCCCTCGCCATTGCACAGGCCTGCTGCAGGCCCTGCTGGCGACCCCCCCAGTCCCTTGGGGGAAGGAACAGCTGAGTTCTGGCAATTCGTTACACTGATGGTGGGGCAGGGAGGAAATTCCCTAGTGGGCAGGACAGGTGGTGGGAGAATTTGGCCAGGCTGCCATGTGCAGGGGCGACTGAGAGAACAGCTGGCCAGGAGGCAGCGCATCCGTTAGCTAACGGGATCTTTCTGGGTCATTAGCTTTCCCTGCCACCTACGTGGCGGCACTGGCTGGGCTCCCCAGGCTGGCTGGCAGCCAGGGGCTTGGCTCCCTGAGAGGGGCCGAGGCAGCGCCGGCCACTCTGCCACAACGAGACCCCCAGTTAAACAAGCCTCTCTGCCCCCAGGCTGGCTCCTGGGGGCCTGGCACAGACCCTGCCCCGGTGGCCCCAGATGGCCCAGGCCCCACGTGGCCCGGCAAGCACCAGGCTGCCTAGCACGGGGTGGCTGGGGTCTGCCCAGGGCGTCATCCTGGCACAATCCCTCCATGAGGGGTGGGGAACCGACAGCCAGTGCAGACCCTGCCCCGCCTGCAGCCCTGCTTGGTGTGGCCCAGTTCTGGCGTCTGAGTCCCTGCTGAGGGCACCACATTCTCTGGGGACTGGGAGCTAAACCTGACCCCACGCCAGGAGCCTGGAGGGCTGGACACTCACCTCCAGATCCCCATACCCTCCCCGGCACTGTGCCAGGCTAGAGTCACCACAGGGCACCCACTCCATTCATCCTGAACAGACAGCCTGGCCTCGATTGCTGCACCCCCGGAATGGGCTCTGGGGCAGCCCCTGGGTTGGGGGACTCCAGATGGAATTCTGTGCTAGGCTCCTCTGTCAACGAACTGGTCGCCCGGCATGTCTGACGGGGACAGCGCGGAGCGCAGCCCTGGCAACGCTGACCTGGCGAGTCGGCCCAGAGCAGGGCTAAGCTCCCTGCCGTGCCCAGTGCCGGGCAGCATGCCCTCCCACATGGCCCGTGTGGGTCCATGTTGTGTGTGTCTCCAGAGCACGTCTGCGGGTACCTGTGCCCAGGAAAAGCACCTCATAGCGCCCGTCGGCTGCGTCCACCTGGTCCACGGCCACAGTGGTGAACTTGTAGTGCACGTTGCTGCGCACCACCAGCGGCTGGCGGTGCACGGGGTACACGGCATGGTACATCAGCGGGTGCGAGCGCATGAAGTTGATCACCTCGTCTGGATAATCCTTGGTTGACTTCATGGAGGGGGTGAAGGTGCCTCCTGGGCACTGAAATACAGAGCGGGCAGGTAAGACACCAGCCCCACCCCACGGCCCGACCTCCCTTCTCCCAATCGTGGCCCAGCTTCCCTCCTCCCAATCACGGACCAGCCCCCCCCGCTCTCCACCCGTGGCCTGGCTTCCCCCCACCCTACCCCATGGCACGGCCTTTGCTCTGTCCCCTGAGGCATGGTTCCTCCACCCCACCGCATGGCCCACCTCCCAATGCACAGCCAGCATCCCACCGCATGGCACGGCCCCCCCATGCCCCCAGGGCACTGTTCTGCCCACGTCTCCCTTCCTGAAGGCACCGGCACACCCATCCTGCAGCCAGCATCAGGTGCCACGAGACTCCGACCCACAGCCACCATCTCACTGGTGCCCCATTCGTGGGGAACCTCTGACTCCTCCGTTCCCCACCGCGCTGCCTCTGTGCACTGCCCCTGCCTCTGCCCAAGCCGGGGGTTGTGGTATAGGGGGAGCCTCTCCCCTGGCAGAGCAGGCTGGGTGCCCCTGGTGCAGGGGCTGGCAGAGCCCTGGCACGAGGCCAGCATGGGGTGGTGCTGGGCTGAGCACGCCACACACTGACACCCTCTCTCCACGCAGCAGGCGGCCAGGCAGCCAGAGGGCCAAACAGGCCCTCTCCCAGTTCCCATAGCCCCTCTTAGTCCCTGGCTTGGCCAGAGGGAGTCGCTCTAAACCCCGTCGTGGGGCAGGTCCCAGAAGTCCTGGGGGGCAACGTCAGAGTCTCTGCACAGGGGAGGTCCCTGCCCAGACACACTTATTGGTGGGCACTTTGTGATTGTGCCCCCTACCCCCCACCTCCAGCTCCCATCACTGCAGCCATACCCAGAGGACCCCCGCTCCCCTGCTGCCGGCCCTGCCGGGCGCTCTGGCAGGAGGTCCCAATCGTACTTACGGTGCCCGGGCGTGGATAGGGCATTTTGCCCGTGTATGGCATCCACTGGTAGTTGGGTCCCTCCTTGTGGGCGAAGGGCCCGTTGAAGACCATGCGGATGTCGGCCATGGAGTACACACACACAGCGGAGCCTTTGAACACGGACCTGGGGGTGGAGGGGGGAGCATCACGTTATCCCCAGGGGGCAACTCTGTCAGACCCACCCTGAACCCATTCCCCGCCCTGACCTGTCTGGTAGGGACCCACCCAGTCAGACTGGGACAGCACCTCAAGCTCTCTGCTCATGTGGGATCCAGAAACGCTCATCCCCAACGATCCCAGCCTGGCACGGGGGTCTCAGGGTTCCACTGGCCGTGAAGGTATGGCACAGCGATGCCCGGACATGGCTGGGGAACGGCCCCACCCAGCTGCTTTGCCTGTGATCCTGGATCTCTGCAGAGGCAGATCCGGAGGGATCCAGGTCCTCAGCAGCTGCCCTGCCTGGCCTCTCCCGCTGGGACTGACTCAGTGACGCCAGCTGGCACACAGCAAGGCTGCCCACGTGCTTAATGCACTGGCCTGGGCGCCAGGATGCCTGGGTTCCATGCCTGGCTCTGCCACAGGACTGCGCTGTGACCCTGAGCCAGTCACTACCCTCTCTGTGCTTCAGTTTCCCCATCTGTGATAGTGCGTGTCTCCCTGCTGGGGGTGGGCGTGATGCTTTCCAGGGCTCTGGGTTATAACGAGTGAACCCCCAGTCAGGCTGGGATCCCCTCCCCTGCGGCAGTGCGAGACCCGCCCCAGACACCCCTGCCCCCCTGCAGTGATCAGCTGAATGGGTGGGGCCGGCTTCTTTGGGAGGAAAGAGACCCCTTTGCACCCATAAAGCCCCGGGGAGCATGGGGATAGATAGGGAGCGCCAGGCCCGTGCCAAGATGGGGTCAGAACCCAGTGTCGCCCAGGCCAGTGCCCAGCCCTGCGGGGTTCTGAACGTGGGGAAGGGGAGCCTAGAAGGAGCCCCGCTCCTGGACCTGGTGCAGGCAGGAAAGAGGGAATCTCAGGCCATGGAGCCCCTCCTGCCTGAGCTCAGACTGTGCGACGGGAGACCACATTGGAGGGGGCGCCAGGGGAAGTGGGGAACAGGGCCCAACGGGGCACTGCTCTCACCTGGCGGGGGCTGACCCTGAACCCTCCCTGCCAGCGCCAGGACGGCCCTGAGTCAGAACCTCCTGTGCCCCGCGCTGGAACAGGTCTGACCCCGAACCCTCTCTGCTCGTGTTAGGACAGGGCTGACCCAGAACCCTCTGCCAGTGCCGGGATGGGCCTGACCAGCATGCCCTGCATCAGGAGGGTCTTCCCCCGAGTGTGATACCCCCCCCATATCTACCCCGCTCCCCCAGCAGCCCCTGCATGTCGTCCCCAGGCCCTGCTGCAGTGCCTCTCCCCTCCACTCCCACGGAGACCCATCCCCGACCCCTCCTGGTGGGCTCACCCAGAGGCAGCGAACACGGCGTAGATGATGGGGTTCTTCACGTCCTGGGTCTGCTGGATGAACACGTCCTCTGAGGGGAGAAGAGAAAGCATCAACAGCCGGAGAGACGCCCCAGAGCTCTGCAGGGACCAGGGGACACAGGGCAGATGGAGGGAGAACAGGGGGCACTGCAGGGAGCAGGGCAGAAGCACTGGCTGTGGGGAACTCCTGGCTACTCCAGCCCCAGCCTCTCCCATCAAGGAGTGCTGTGGGGACCAGGGCAGGAATGCTGGCTGTGGGGGGCACACCCGGCTAAGCGCTGTTGCACAGGGGATGCTTCAGCTGCAAGGCGTGCACTAGTGGTGAAGATGCAGGCTGGGGAGAGTGCCCCTTAGGAACCAGGGGAGCCTCTGGGCACCATCTGGAATTGATCTAGGCAAGCAAAGTGCAGGGAACCAGGTGGCGATGGGACGGCGCCTCCTGCTCCCGGGTGCAGCCCATCCATCACATGCCACAGCAGGTGCTGACAAGCTATTGGGGGCTGCACTGCCTCCCAGCCTCTGGCGAGAGCGACTTCGCTGGACACCTCCGTGGAGGCTCCTGGCTGGGCAGGAAGGCCCCTGTGAGCTCCCCAGGAGGTGCTGGGGACCCAGATGTGGCGCTGCCTCTGCTCAGAGACGCTGTAGCCTGCAGTGACAGCTTGGGCAGCACAGAGGTTCTGCCCGCTACCACCTCTGGTATCTGTAGTCAGCTGTTGCCCCTCCCAGGCACCTCATTGCCCGGCGCTCCATGGCAGCGCCCCAGTGCACCCTGCCCACAGGCCCTTACGGAGTTCATCAAAGTGCGTTTCGATCCCGTCAGGCCCCGGCACGGAGCAGATGAGCCGGGCTTTCAGGAACGTGCTCCATTTATTGACAAGGCAGCAGTGACCTCCGTCGTCATTCTAAACCAGGGGGGAAAATACCATTCTCAGGCACTCGGGCAACCAGAATGTGAGCTAGGCTCGTCCTGCTAGCTTGGGCTTCCCAGCAGGGGGCGCTGTGGGGAGGGGACAGAGCGCTGGCTGTTGGGGTTCCCAGCTACTCCAGCCCAGCCTCCCCCAGCAGGGGGTGCTGTGGGGAGTGGGACAGGGGGTGCTGGCTGTGGGGGGCTCCCCGGTACTCCAGCCCCAGCCTCTCCCAGCAGGGGGCACTGTGGGGAGGGGGCAGGAGCGCTGGCTGTGTGGAGGCTCCCAGCTATTCTATTCAAATCCCAGCTTCTCCTTTCAGAAGCTCAGTCTGTAGGGGACACTGCTGGTATTCCAGTCCCAGCTGGGGGCACTGTAGAGAATGGAGCAGGAGCTCTGTCTGTGGGGAGAGCTCCCAGCCACTCCCAGCAGGGTGTGCCGTGGGGAGCCAGGTACATACCAAGCAGATGCGCCCGATGCGGGAGTAGACAGCAGGGCTCTGCGGGGCATCAGCTGATTTCTCCCGGAAGAAGAAGTAAAGCTTGTCGTCGTTCCTCTCAGCGCTGTCCGGGATGAGCTGGGCGTGAACAAACGCTGGGTCTGCAACCAGACATGCCAGCGCTGTGAGGCCATGTGCCAATGGGACAGGAGCCTGCCCTGCAATCTATTGAGAGGCTAGTACATGGCCCCATTGCCCCCCGACTGGCAAAAGAACATGTGAATTTGTAAAGAAACACCCTTTGGCAATACCCACACAAAGGGCAGAGATTAGGTTGTGTGACTTTGGAATGCTCAGCAAAAAACACCCTATGGCAATACCCACACACAGGGCAGTTAAAGTTGTGTGGCTCTGGAATGCTCAGCAAGGCAACCTTAGTTTTTTCTTAACAGTTTTTAATGTAATATCCTAAGTTTTTAGCTAGCAATAAAGCCCGTAAAGTGGAACTAGTTAGCTAGAGAGCTCCCTGTGTTTGGGGGGAATGCACCCCCAGCATGAAGCCTCCAGGGCCTTCCCACAAGTCCCCCCCAAAGGACAGACAAGTTCTCTGCAAGTGACCAAGAACAACTTCTCAGCACAAAGAACCATGGGATGTGCCACAGGCACACGGGTGAGTGAAGACACAGTAGCACAGCTTGGGCCTTGCAATGGGGACGCTCACACCCAGACAAGGCTAACCCGGCTGCTCAGACCTAGCTGCCAAGCCCCCAGGCTAATTGCAGCGACAACGTATCTTGTGACCAATCCCTTGGAAGGCAGGGGGACTTTTGCCACTGATTCCGACGGGAGCAGTGACTGTGGTTAGGGTGACCGTGGTTAACCATCTGGCACAAGTGTTTCACTAAGGCCATAACGCAGACTGATGCCCATGCATTCTCACTGGCACGTCTCATACCATACATCAGTGGCCTACCCCCGCTTGTGTCAGTGCTCAAGGTGCTATACAAAAGTCCGATGATTTTTTTTCTTAATAATGAGAAAAGTGTATCCCCTTTTGGCCCCCAACTCTCCTTGGACTCCAAAATTGCTTGACAGTTTTTTGCTCAAACGTTTGGATATCAATTCACACGAAGGAGCCCATGCCTGGGAAATTTTAGCCCCAAAGTTCCAGCAATTTTCGAGCAACTGGAAGCAGGAGGTTAGAATGGAAACTGTCTGGCAGCTGGAAGTGGAGTGACCAGTGCTGTTCCTGCTAGAATATCTGTCCATCATCAATCAATATGCCTCCAAGCCTACGGTGACAGCTCTGCCTTCTCAATTGCAGCTACTGTGCCCAGAGGTATAATATGATCGCTCCAACTTCAGTTTACTCAGCTGTCACTGCTGCTTTGCCACAGGTGCAGGTGCTACTGGGAGAAGGCCAGGCATACCTCCCACCAGGAACCTCCCTCTGGTGCAGCGGGGAAGGGAGGGAGAGCAGGAGAGAGATGTTCTGGATTGGTTATTGCAGATGATGGGGCTGACACCCCATTCCCATCCAGACCCATCCACCTATTCCCATGCAGAACCATCTATCCCTCTATACAGACCCTTCCATCCATCCACCCAGACCCAGACCCAGACCCAGACCCAGACCCAGACCCAGACCCAGACCCAGACCCAGACCCATCTATCTATCTATCTATCTATCTATCTATCTATCTATCTATCTATCTATCTATCTATCTATCTATCTATCTATCTATCTATCTATCTATCTATCTATCTATCTATGAGTTTTATTTGCTCTCTGTCCTTTGCTGTTTCTATTCCAGGACTTGGCTCTGCAATACTTGAGTTTTGGCACTTCCCCTAGACACCACATGGGCCTTCAAGGGACTCCCTGTTCCTTTGGTAAGATCCTTTTGTTGAGGCTCACATGCTGGGAGGGAATTCTTGTCCTTGCCTGATGAAATGGCCACCACTTCTTCTGGGTTTTACCAGCTTTGAAGGTGGCTGAGTACATAGTGCTGCTCACTGGTTGCCCACTTTCCAGGGATGGAGCCATGAGGGCTTGGCAGCTACTGGGTTGAATGGCCTGAATTTTGGTGAGTCTGGGTGCACATCTGCAAGTGTCTCGGATCATGCACCTGGGGAAGGTCTCACCCTTTCAGATCGCTGCACCAGGGAAGGGCTGTCCTGGCAAAACAGGTCAGGGATGCTTCAAAGTTCCTCCTCAGCTCCAGCACTAGCCTGGTCCTTCAGTAAGAACTCCCTTCAGTAGGGCACTTCTTTGTCAGGGATGAAATTGTGACATCCGTCCTAGGCAATGGCTGGCCTTAGACGGCCATGTCCTGTCTGTAGCACTTCCCAATCTGACACGTGTCCAGGTTCTCCTGCTCAATGAGGACAATGCCTTTGAGGGGAGAATGTAGCCAGTTGCCAATTGCTTTGTGTTCTGGGATGATATCAACCTTCCGATTTGTTTTCCTCCTGGGTTGCCGTAACCCTCTGGTCAGCATGGGTCACAGGCCCCTCTCTGTGCCTGGTCCACACAGGAGGTGAGGCTCTCACAGCCCCAGCCTGGGCTTTAGCTCACGGTGTAGCAGCTCCTGGTTTGAGCTCTGGAGGTTCCCAGGCCAAGATGGTGGCTAGCCCGTTCGCTCCTCTGGTATTTCTAGTGATCACAAGCTTCTCGAGCAGGGCACCCAAGGACTTAGAGCCTGGTTCTGGCCAGCACAGAGGGGAGCAGCAGTGGAATCTCTCTCTGCTCACAATGGACCAGTAGCTGCACTCATCCATGTTCTGCAAAACTGCTGAGGGAAGGAGATGGGCCCAGCCTCAGAACTGCCCCCCTGGCGCCAGCATCGCCACGGCTCCACAGCAGGTCTCTGCGTGGGGGCCCTCAGGATGTCTAGACCCATTGTGACTGGGGCCAGGAGGCCCGGCATTCCTGCTGGGGCCCTGACAGCAGTTTGCCATGGTGGGAGTGCCTCAGAAGCTTGCAAGGAGGCAGGCAGGCAGCGTCTCTGCGGTGCCCGCTGGAGATGGAGTGGGACGAGCGTGCATTGATGGGTCTTTGCAGAAGGATCTCTTACTGCTGGAAACACACCCAGAGCAGGGATTGCTGCCTACGAATGCCCCCAGCCGTGAGCGGGTTGGCGGTAGGAGCCCAGTGTCGCCGGATCTGCTGGCAGAGGCAGAACTGCTAGCAGGAACCAGAAGAGGGCAGATGTGCAGGCCTCAGGCTCCAGGGGCCCTGGAATCAGCTCGCAGGGGTGGAAATGCCCTGGCGCCAGGCTCTGAAGGAAGAGAGTGGCAACTCCCAGCACAGAGGCGGCGTGGGAGAAGGCACAAAGCTGGGGTGGGGGGTGAAGGGAAGTCGGGGGCTTGGAGGGAAGTCAAGGAAAGTTTGTCGTTCACATCACCCTGGTTAAAACGCACCTTGCCTACTACTGCCCATAGCCCTAGGGCTGTGACTTCACCAGCTCTGCTTGGCGTATCACAGGCAAAGGGAAAACTGCACCCCCAGGCTGCCCCATGTACCTGGCACAGCCTTGCCAAGCTGGCATGAGGCAACAGCTGCCTTCTGCCAGGGCTAACCCATGGAGATTCTCCTGAAACGCTGCAGCCGTAGCTAGAGTGCTCCACCAACTCCATGCAAGGGGGTGGGGATCTTCTGGGTGCTTGTGGGGTGTGGGCCCCACCCTGGATGCAGTGCTCATGCTACTTGAGCCCCAGAGAAGCCCCAGGAATGGCAGGCCAGAGGGCACCCAGGCACTGGGCTTTATATAGACTGCGAGGTCCTGGGCAGCATCTCACGTCCCGGAGATGCATGATGCCGCCCCGTCTCCACCCGTGGCTCCCCCGGACTCACCGTTCAGCCAGCGGGAGTTGTACTGGTCAGTCCTCATGGCTGTCTGCTTGCCCATGGTGCGGAAGATGGCCGCATCCGTGCCCATGAAGTCAATGTAGACGCCAGCATAGAGCTCCTCATCTGCAGGTGGGAAGCAGAGGTCAGCAGGGACTGGGATGTATAGGGGAGCAGTTCCTGAAGGGGGACTGTGGGGGGCCTGAGGACCCCTCAGCCCCTCCTCATGCAGACCCTTTGTCCTGCCCCCAAGCCCTGCCCAAAGAGGGAAGCTCGGGGGAGGGGCTGATGCCCTCTCCCTGACAGGACGTCCTGTGCTCCCGGGGGCAGCCCTGATTGCAGTCCATCTCCCCTCTGGGGAGAGGGACCCCAGCTCCTTGTCAGCTCATAGACAGGTCTCCATCTCCCATGTGGTACCCAGTAGGCACCAGGTTGGGGGCACTGTCCCAGGCCTGGCTGCCAGCCCCCTGCTTTGCAGCTGCTCCCCAGTGAACGAAGCAGTGCTGGGGCTAGTGTGTAAGGCAACACTCACGCCTGGAGAGGATCAGAGACGGCCGAGGCCCATCGAGGCCCGGGGGGGGGGGATTAACAGTAAGTGAGAGCTTTGGCCCACGCTCCTGGGGGAGCTCGGCACAGCTGTTGCCTATACAGGCCTGGGGATGGCAGGACATCAATACCATCCCGTGTTATTTCACTGCTCTGTCTCGCTCTCCTGCCCTTTGCAACCCCATCCCAGCCAGCCCCACCCCTCATCACCCCAGGGGCAAAGCACCACGGACACCAGGGATGCCATGCTCTGCATTGTGGCCTTGCACCTTCCAGGAGGGCGCCAGCAGTGCCCGGGGCTGTGCCTGATCAGTTGGGAGGAGGCAGAGGAGGTACAGGAAATGGGAGATGAATGTGGAGACAGAAATAGGACAGGAAGTCGGGGTGGAGATGCTCCTAGCACATGGGGCTGACTCACCGTGGCCATTCCTACCCCAGGGTTGGATCTGACCTCATCGAGGAAAGAGATGCCCTGGGGATTTTTCCATCATTTGTCGGTGGCCGTCAGAGCCTCTCCTACCCCATTTTCCACTCTGTTCTACCTAGGTTCGTCCCACATCCATCACCATGGCATCCGGGTGCCTCTTGCCAAGCCACAGACCTCCAAGTCCTCACATCGGGCCAAAGTACCCCGCTGCTTTCCCTCCCCCACACCAGGTCTGGATTTGCTGGCCCTACAGCTGCTGGGCCCTGGATTCGGATCTCTGCCTGGCTTCCTTGGGGGCAGCCACCTTCAGTGGAGCTGCAGAACACCGCCAGGCTAACGGCTCTGGGGAGGGGGGAGCAGCCACTCAGCAGCCACCTGCCCTGAAGTCCTAAACAGCTTCTCATCACCTCTCATTTTAACATTAGTCTCAAACCACCTAATATTTCCCTGGCATGCAGCCAGCCCTAGCACTCAACCCAGATTGGTGCAGGTCCCTCCCCAGGGGCTGGCCCACTGCTCCACTCCGATGCAGCTGGGCGGGAGAGCAGGGGTCTGTGGGCCACCCCCATGCAGTTGTGGTGCTGGCTAGTTCAAGGGGGTGGGGGACAAAATGGGAGTTCATGGGGAGAGACTTCCCCAGCTGTGCCAGGCCAGCAGCATCTGTTTCAGGTGGGCGCCATTCCAGGTCCACACAAGAGGAACCATGTGTGCCGGGGCCGGGAAGAGAACAGCCAGCTCCCCAGGCCTCTGCTCCCTGGCTTTGTCCCAGGCAAAGCCTGGACAGGAGTTCTGGAGCTCCCACAGCCTGTGCACTCCCTGGCTTCAGCTCCCCATAACCTGCAAGTGGCTGCTTCTCACTGGAGTGGCAAGTCCACGCGGGACGCAGTGCAGCAGTATCTGCACAAGGCGAGGCTCGCAGCAGCTGAGAACAGGGCTGGCTCAGAGCAGGGTGCAGGCGTTCTGTGGCTGTCGAGTTCTTCTGGGGGTTCCCTGGGCAACAAGAGTGGTCGCGTGGCACCAGTGGAGAGAGTGACCGAGGGTTCAATCGGTGGTGGTGCGGAGGACAGAACAGCCCAACAGGACTGACACGTTATCTACAGTGGCTGCATCCTCCATGAGCCAACCAGCCAGGCCCGTCCTGGGTCCGGGCCGGAGCTCATGAATTAAAGGCCACATGCCCGGGCACCTTCCCAATTGCCTGGTCCCTTGGTGGAGGGCTCAGGCACCTTCCTGCCCTGCCTGAAGTGGTTCTGGCGAGGAGCCAAGCTTAGATCTTTGGGCTCTGGTGCTCCTTGGGCCTTGGCTACTCCACCTTCACCCCTGCAGACATCTCCCCGCTATGGAGACCAGGCAAAAGCCCCATCTGCATTTCCCCTTCGCTGCTCTGGCCCTTTCCTGGCCTTGTGCCTTGGCAATGGCTGGCACCGCCATACCCCCTTTGCCCCCTTGGTCTAGGTCCATCTGGAATCAATGCCGAGAACAAGCTGGATGTCCCTCTGGAGCACTGCAGGACCCAGCCAGAGCAGCCCCCATCCCCTTGGAAACCTTGCAGTGCTGCAGTTGCAAGAGAGAAGGACTCACTTATCAAGGCTGAGACGCTGTCCACCTTGGGGTCATAGGAGCACTTCCCTTTCCCTGATTCCAGCTTCTCCGGCTCCAGGTAGAAGATATAATCCTGGAACAGAAGGAGGGAGCCCATTACACCCACCCCTTCCACTTCTGTAGGACAGAGGAGCCCAAAGCGCTTTCATAACTCCACAGCGCTCACAAGCCTCACCTCACCCAGCAATGAAATGCAGCCCCCCTTGGGGGGGGGCGGGGGAGCACAGCAGCTATTTAGCAGCCCACAGTCATGCTGCGCATACCGAACGGCAGGCAATGACGGAGAATGCTGGGTCCATTGGAACTGCAGAGGCAAAGTTAGAGGCAGAACGGAATTACCCATTGCCGAGGCAGAATCTGAACGGGACACGGGGGTTATCACTTCTCCGCTGGGGAATTATGTCATGGGATCGTTATTGCTTCACAGCTCCGGCACCAAACTCCAGCTGGGGTGCATCCCGGAGGCAACCTGAAAGCATCAGCTGATGCAGAATGTGTTTGTACAGTGGAGTGGTGAGGAGCTGTTACTCCAATGCTGCTGCAAGTGCCCAATTCCTTTCCCAGGTGGGCCTAGACAAAGCCCTCAATGGCACAAGCCCACGGTTCCTCAGCGATTGCCCCATCACAGCACCTGTCCTTCTGTCACTACCATTAATCTCGCTGGAGTCAATGGCTGGGCATCTGTGGTGGTGGGGCCCCCGTCTGGCCACACCTTTGGCCTGGCTTTCCAAGCAGAGTAGCATTGCATGCAGATTTATTACAGTAGTAACAGCCACAAGCTGACAACTCTGCCATCTTGCCCGAGCAACGGCACCTCAGCCACACCGGGGGCACTGACCCAAAGCTAAGAGGGCCTAATCATTCATTTTTAACGGGCAATCTCCCATCCAAATATCAACTAGGCCTGGCCCTGCTTAGCGTTTGAGAGCAGAGACAGTCAGTACCTCTGTCATGTTATTACAGCTACAGAATGACTGATTTGCAGGAATGCTGCTGGTCGTCAGCCACAAGCCTTTTGATGGCAGCCTGGGTTAGAACAAAACCAGAAACAACCCCAGCTAGGGCCCGTCTGAGTGGCTGCTAAGGAAATGACATTCCAGTACAAGCAGCAATGAGTTTAAAGCCTCCACAGTCCTTCATCCTTTGAAGGATGGGGGGGAGGGATAGCTCAGTGGTTTGAGCATTGGCCTACTAAACCCAGGGTTGTGAGTTCAATCCTTGACGGGCCACTTGGGGATCTGGGGCAAAATCAGTACTTGGTCCTGCTAGTGAAGGCAGGGGGCTGGACTCGATGACCTTTCAAGGTCCCTTCCAGTTCTAGGAGATAGGATATATCTCCATTTTGCATGTGATACCACAATTATAGTCTACTAATTAAACTCCATTGAGTAGGAAGCTCAGGAAGTGGGGACGGCAAGCGTCTCTATGTAAATGTGTGTTGGAAGATCAAATGGTGAGATCAGGCTACACGTCCTACTCTCACACTACATCATACCACCAATACTGGGTGATTTCATTCCAGGAAGTTCCACCCACCAGTAGTGTAATCCAGGAAGTACTGCCCCTTAGGATGGCATTCCAGGCAGTGTGGCAATTTATTTACTTTGTACATTTGACCTTACTTGGGAAATAGTCCCTGGTTTCCCCATAAAGCAGGTCCCAAGTCATCAAACCATCTCTGTTCAGCAAAGCACTTAAGCATGTGTTTAACTCAGGTGTTGCCAACTTTAAATGCTAAACATCCGTTATCTGACCTGCCAAATCATGAGATTGGCTTAAAAATCATGAGATTTGGCAAAAAAAACAAATAATAATTGTGGGGTTGTTTTTCTTTGATTTCTAGTTTCCAAGCTTTTGGGGCACACGTGCGTCATGTTTTCAAGCTTTCCTCTGCAACCAGGAGGGCTAGAAACTGCCTTTGACTTTGAATGAAAGCAGAGACTCTCCTGCAATCTCTTGATGCCACCAGCCGAAGGTTTAAACAAATACTCCAGAAACTGCCGGACTCGCAGTCAAACTGTGAGAGTCGGCAGCAGTATTAACCTTTAACCGTAAAGTTTAAGCATGCGCTTAAGTGCTTTGCTGAATGGGGCCCATATTTAATTAGGTCTGGTCTGTACTAGTGATTTCCCCTGAGTCCAGCCAGCCACCACTGTAGCTGCACCAGTACAACTCCTAGTGTACACAGGGCTAAATAGCTATTTGCACCGATTGAGTCCAACCCTGCTTGCCACTTGGGTTGGCTGCTTCTGTGCCAGCTGTGGTTTCCCTTGTGTACAGCAGGGGTCGCTACACCAGGGTGACATCCTCCATGCAGCCCAGGCATTAGCCAGCTTCTCCCGCAGTCCGAGTGACCCCCCACAGTGATGGCAGAGAAAAGCATCACGAAGAGAGAAGGAAGAAAGAGGAGTGTAACACCACAGAACTGGCAGGGGCGGGGCCGGGAGCGACCTTGCACTCATGATTGAAACAGGCTAGATTTCAAATGGATGGTGCCCCTTTGAATTCGCTCCAAGTTCCCAGACCATCTCCATGGCAGCCAGCCCACCATCATCTGATTTGCTATCACACCTCATATTAGACCTACACCAGCAATGGGCTTGCCTTGTTTGTCCCCCCCAGCGTGCTATCGCCACCTTATGTCCACAATAACTTTTGGCAGGGATATTCAATCTTGTACATAGGGCATGAGCCAATCGCTGGCTACTAGAGACCTACGTGAGGAGATTACCCCACATCGACCACTGCAGGGCTTTTACACCTTCCCCTGCAGCAGCTGGCACCAGCGTCAGTCAGAGACGGGACAATGGGCTGGATGGACCTCGGTTCTGATTCAGCCTGGCAATGCCCATGTTCCCGTGTACCTGGGCAGTCCAAGGTGTCTCATCCCTGGCTAGTGATATTTTGTATGGCAGCATGGTAGAAACCATCCATGAATGAAAAGTCATACCAGCCCAACTGCCCCAAGCCAGCCTGCTTTTGTGCCACTCCTGCACTTGTGAGTAGAGAGCCATGGGTATCAGTCTCGGTGTTTCGAGGAAAAGTCACACACCCATTCCTATAACCTGACAAGGTGTCTTCTGCTTTTTTGTCTGAAATCCAAGAGCCAGTCCTGCTTAAAACTGGTTGAAAAACCAGTGGAGTGAAAACCGCTGAAGTTGTTTTCATTTTGAATGGTTTGAAACTGACCCATTTTTTTCTTTCTTTGCAAATTGTTTTTTTTAAATAGAAACCCTTATCCAAATGGTCATTGCAATTTTTCATTGCCTGAAAGTTGGGAAACAAAATTGTGATCAAAACTTTGATCACCTTTCTGACAAAAAAAATATTTGCTGGAAACCAAAAATAATGCTGGTGGTGGTGTGTGACCAAAAGAAAAAAGGGACATTTATGAAAAAATGCTACTTTTCAATGGAAAAACTTTCCATTGGAACATTTCAACCGTATCTAGTCCAGATGTTCTGCTCGCATCTAAGCTGTTGGTAACATAATTGCTGTTGATTGTTGGAATGTTCCGCGAATATTTGTCTAACAAGGGGATGAAAAGGAGGGTTGGTTATGGGCTTCGGAGCATGGTGACTGTTTTGGAAGTGGCCGGATTTGAAGGGCTGGAAGTGAAAGACACAGGGTTCAAATAGCTAACTGCTGAGCTCATCCCTGTCTCAGAGAGTCACACAAACGAGCTGTGCTGAGCTGTGCTGAAGTTGTCTTAAAGATGGATTGGATCAGACAGAATTAATCTCCCTCCCTTGACCCTTCTTTTACCTGAGGACTTGCTCATGTCAGCTCCTTTCAGTGGAATGGGCTGAGTCAGGGCAGGAGGTGCTGTTATAACACAGAGCCATACAGGGGCATTAAGGTTCAGATGAATGGATGGGATAAAAAAGAGCATTTAGTGTGGTGACAATGGGTAACGCAAACAACTAGCTTCACTGGGAGCATGCACATCAATGTGACTGAGGTAAAACTGGGTACGTACGACCCCCACCCTGGTGTATATCCAACCATCCCAATCCAACAGCTATTGCCACACCCGCACTGAGTACAAACACGCGGCACCCCATCTGCATATGCAGCACTATGGCGCCTTCTTCTAGCATGAACGGCAGCTGCAATTCAGTGATGCAGGTGAGCTGCACTAAGTGTTACTGGAAACCGACCCAGCGCTGGGCAACTCATTTATTGTGGATAATTCATCCAGCAAATTTAACCCCTTTGATCTTTGATCTTCCCAATTGAGTTCCTATTTGCAATGGTGAGACCAATCATTTGGGCCAGACACTTTCAGACAATGGCTTCATGAAAACTTCACCGCCACTGTTTCTCAAGTGTGTGATTGGTCCCCTAAGCCGTGTGGAATTTTTTCTGCTCCCTGATTGGACGACTTAAATTTTTTAAGCAGGAGACCGCGTGATGAAGAGCGTGATAAAGGGCACCATCCCCCGAATAGTCACACCAAGTAAAACCTACTCGTGAATAACCAGCAGTTAAAAAAACCAAATATCCTGGCTTCAAACTCAGAGTCTCCTGGGCTTGGAGCCTTTGGCATCCATGCCTCCAAGCACATCAGCGAGGGCTAGAAAACTGACAGATGATACAAGCTGAGTTCCTCCCATAAACCTCTGACTCCAGGTACTGGCACTTTAAGAACACCCCCTTCCGAAATCTCACGAGAATTGAGCCATTTGGAATCCCAAGGCCCATTGGCAACACTGGTTTGCGGGCTTCGCCTGGTGCTAGTGGGGAATGTGGTAACATGAGATATCCAGGGGCCAGCCCAACAATAGAGTCTCTCTGCTCACGGCCACTGGAGTGGGTTCTCCCAGCTTAGTTGTGGGCGTGCTGGGGCTGCTACAAACTGGCATAGATTAAAGCTCCGGGCTGCCCAAGAGCTCATGGGCACAGCTCAGTGGCCCCCTGCCCCAGTTTGGTGCTGAGTGGAGCTTGACCAGAGGCTCCTGTCTCTTCCTCAGGACATTGTCTCTCTGCCTCGTAACTCCTCATCCTCTTGCTGGGGGGGTCCAGTCCAGGAGGGCCCCAGTGACCCTCCCCGCGAGACGTCCGCCTCTCTGCCCAGGGAAAGGGCACTGTGGCTTTTCCTCCATTCTCTGATGATGGTGACGCAGGCACAGCAGTGGGTGTGTGGCGAGATGTCAAAGGGAGCTCTTCCTTTCTGGCCCGAGAGGGCTGGCGCAGAGGGGGCACCTCCTGGGAACTGTTGTCTGCCTGTCACGGGGGCTCCTGCCTCTAGCCCAGCCCAGGCTGCCCCTGGCCCAGCGCGGAGCATGCTGTTGTCCTGATGGGGGATACATGGCTCCTCTCTGGCAGGGTGCAGCGATGCTGATGGGACTGGGGCTGAGGCAGGCAGGCGCCGGAGGAGAGTCATGTGCCATGGAGGGCCTCACGCAGTCACACGCCAGGCCCCGAATCCCAGCAGAGAAGCCAGTTCCCACATGGGAGCCAGGGAGGAGAGCTGGACTGCAGTCGGGCTGGGGGAGGAGATACGCATAGTGGGGGGGACAGTGAGGGGCTGAGAAGACCCAGGAATGGGGGAGCTGCCACCCCCACCCTGCCCTGGGATGGCAGAGGTAGAGCAGAACACCAGGCTCCATCTCAGGAGGCAGCCGTGGGAGGCAGGTGCCCAGGTCTGTGACACCCGCCCCCCACATGGCTGCTTTAGGGAACTGTCCCCATGTCAGTGTCTTGACCCCTCGCTGGGTTGCAGAAGGTGCCTCCTGCCCCCTGCCAGGCAGCTGCTATGCTCCCCATGCTTTGGACCCCACTGGAGGGTGGGGGAGGCGGCCGGTCTGAAACCTGCACAGGGACTGGCATCTACAACCCTTGGGGTTTGGTCCCAGCTGAGAGACGCCAGCCAAGCGTGGGCAGTTGGGGTGCTCTGAGCCCAGGAGGAGCATGTGTGTGTGAGGGGCACTGCTGGATCTCGCTAGGCCCTGCCCATCAGTGCTGTGGTGGGCTTCGGTCTCTAGGCTCTCAGTGAATAACATCCCTGATGCAAACTGCTCTGTGGAGAAGGTGCTGGGGCATGGGATGTGCCCGTGGCCTGGCAGCGCCTGCTGTTGGCTGCTTCTGGCGGGGATGTAAGGACCAGACCTGGGTTCCTGAGCCCCTGGAATGTGCTCTGGGAGCAGCCTGGGGGGATGGGTGGGAAGGACCGGACTTGGATTTCTGAGCTGCTGGAACAGGCTCTGGGGGGTGGGTGGGTGAGAAGGACCGGAGCTGGATTACTGAGCCCCTGGAATGGACTCTGGGGGCAGCCGGAGTCAGGAGGGCAGAGCAGATGCCCTCGAACAGCAGCCTTGAGGGTGGTGCTCACGGCACAGGAGGAGGATCACTCAGGGAAAATCAAAGCTTGGAAGAAGCTGAACTTCCCCCTGGGACCATGAGCTCCTGATTCCTCCCAGCACCCCGAGCTGCTTATGGAGCCAGCGATGCGAACCCAGGCTAATCCTGCCTCCATGCAGTGAGCCGGCCCAGCTGCTAGCCTGGCGGGAAGATGATCTTGTCGAAGAGACACTGTCAGGAGCAGGGCCTCAAAGCCGTATATCCCATTCCCCTGCCCGATCTGGCCCGTTCCCAATTGAACAACACAATCCATCTCCAGCTGGAGCGTTGGTGGGTGGTGGGCACTGCTGTGCTTAAAGAGCCAGCCGGGGGAGTGCCCGCATGTGTTTTGGTAGGTCCTACCAACAATCAGGCCCAACACCCACCGTTCCCCAACCCCTGCGAGTGGCCGGTGCTCTAAAAGGAATCCGGAGCCAGTGGCTCCGTTCCCGGCACGGGGCCTCTGACAGTGTCCCTCCTCCCCATGGCATCTGGAGCAAGGCCTGGGGGAGCAAGGCGTTAGTCTGAGAGGAGATGCGAGGACTGGCTGCTCTGTGCTGGGTGGTGGCACAGACAGCTCAGCCATTGCAAGGGGCATGCCCAGCCGGGGGTTAGCGGTTAGGTGCATGCCATGGGGGAGGAAGGTTAGGGAGCCCAGGCATGCCCTGGGAGGGGAGCCGGCTCCTGCCCTTGGGGGGGGTCTGAGCGCGAGTCCCACCTTGCGTTCTGCTGGTGTCGGGCTGTGGGAGGAGTCTGCGGCTCGGCTTCCCCGTCCTCCCGGCTGGACGCTTTGGGTCAGCGCAAAGGCCTGAGGAGAAGGAGCAGTGCAGAGAGTTAGAGCTGGCCGAGCCAGAGGCCACCCGGGGGTGGGTGGGGATGGGCACTAGGGCAGTGGGAGGGGTCATGCCCACCTGGAAGGGCAAGAAACTCCCCCCACCCCCAGCCAGCGCGCCTGCCCCAGCTCCTAGAGCGCCCCCGTGGCAGAGCCAGCGCTCTTGAGCCCAGGGCATTGTGAGTGTGCCCAGGCTATTGTGCGGGCCGCATGTGATTGTGCCCACCATGTGCTAGCGTGGCAACATGCTTGTGATGGCATGTGTGGGCATGGTGTGTGCCAGCATACGTGGCATGTGTGTGTGTGGCACACACTGGATGGGCCTCCTGCTGCCCCGTACTGACACTGACAGCAGATGTGGAACTTTGTGACAAGCCCTCTCCCCCACCCCCCGGTGATCACACACACACTCCAGGGACAGGGGGAGGAACCAAGACCCTCAGTTAAACCTCAGGGAATCCTGGCTCCCGCAGGGCTGGGTCCTGGCCCGTCTCTGGGACTGCGTGTGACCAAATGCCACATGGCTGGCTCAGACCTGCTGCACATTATGCATAACTGTGCCCTTTGCTCTGCCTGCCACATCCTTGTGACACCCAGACTGAGAACCCCAGGCTGCCGAGAGGCCAGGACAGCAGCAAATTCCCTGATGTGGCCTGTGGTTCGAGGAGCCTCAGGGCTTCCCAGTCCTTATAATAATAATAATATATGGAGATGTACCTATCTCACAGAACTGGAAGGGACCCTGAAAGGTCAAGTCCAGCCCCCTGCCTTCACTAGCAGGACCAAGTGACCTTATCCCACACTCAGCCAGGCTTGCCCAGCGGTGCCCATGGGTGCTATACAGGAGGTGCCACCCTGGCTGACAGGGCACATCTGACCTCTGAGGAGGGCACCTGTCTCAGCTGGGAATAGTATGGAGCCCACAGTTCTGTAGCACGACTGGGAAAATCCTTCCTGACCTCAGCTCATGCCCTGAAGCATGAGGATGATGAGGAACGCCAGGATAACTCCAATCCCACAAAGCTGCTGCGTGGGGCCAGCTCCTCCTTCTCTAGTCACCTTATGCACAGCTTCACTGTCTGCCTTCTCTCCAATGGACTGCAGTGCTGCGCTACTGGGAGGTACCAGCCCACCTGGACCCCAGGACTGGTGGGTAGAGCCTATGGCGAACAAGAGGCCCCACCCCCTCCAGCGACAGCCACAGCCTATTTGAAACCTGGGAGGTGGTGGGCGGAGCCTCTCCGAAAGAAAAGCCCACTCCCACAGCATGGGCACGGGTGGGATTAGATTTCCCTCCACCCCCCCAGGCTGGGGGTGACCCCCTCCTGCCTTGGCCTCTCGGAGGAGACTGACAGCAAGGGCCCGAGGTTGATTAGGGCCCCTGATGCTCACGGCGATTAGGGGATGCAGCCCCAGGGGAAACGCACTGAGATCCACATGAGCCCCTAAACAGCCCTAAGGAGGGGACAGCACAGACTCTGCTCATCAGGGATCACAGCTGGATTGGAATGGATGACATGGATGTGGGGGAGCCCCTCTGTCCCAGACCCCCATCCTCTAAGGCAGGCAGCCAATAGAAACCCCCACATGACAGCCAATAGAAAACCAGGAAGGGGTGCATCCATTTCTTGCACAGAGTGCACAAAAATGCATGCCTGTTCAGCTTTGAGTGATGAACCCAAATCACACAGTCAGAACAAGGCAGGTATTAGCCAGGCACAGTCCATGACACAGCGGGTGTCACCGGGTAATGCTGTTCCCCAGACTTACAAGTTGGCCAGCTGGAAGAAATGCTGGTGTGGCTGGGTGCTGTGATGCATGTTCTGTAGGTGGTGGCTGTGGCAAGAAGCAGGGCAGTTTGCTCGCCGCTCCATCCTCTCTAACTAGAGTCAAGTCCAGAGGGCGAGTTGCTGCTGAAGAATCGAGTGCGTGGGCGAGATTCTTGGAAGGTTTGGGCCCACCTCAGTTCCGGGCCCGGTGGATACACTGCGAATCTCCCCACACTCGGCGTCGCTGCTTTCTCCTCCACTGGCAGGCTGGCCCACAGGCCCCGAGCTCTGCTGCTGCTCGGCAGAGGGGCAGCAGTATTAATGAAGCCATTCGCAGACACAGGCGGGCTTAGTAATGGGACCGAGGCGTTGACCCATGCATGGGATTAGCTCTCCATTAACACAGGACTGGCAACCCCAACCAGCTGCGATGCGAAAACCAAGATTCCCCGTTCCACACCTCACTGTATACACATGATAGAATAACCCAGTGCCGAGCGCTACCAGAGCTCTGGTGGAGCCGAGCTGAGGAGCAGCACCCGCTTACTTTGTTTTTCACTGTTTTATATGTGTCCCCGCCCTTGACTCCGGGGGCATGATCCCGTCTTAGAGACAAATACAAAGAATTCACTAGTGTAATCTAAAGTGAAATGTACCAAACCCTCTCTCTCATTTACCCCTCCCTCCCCACGGCTACCTGAGCATCTGCTATGCAAACATTTCTGCATTCCCCATGTGCCCCATGCCGCCAAAACTCATCAGCCTCCAAGGGGAGAGAGACATTCCAGCCCCTGGGTGGGACCACTCACTGCCCCAAGCTACGACGACGAGCAGCGCCAATGACTCTGCAGGCAGCCAGGCCCAAAGTGGAGATTCTCCCACCTCAAAGCTCCCACCTGTGCAAAGCTCCCGGCAGATCTTCAGCGAGAGCCAAGGGCTTGGCACATCTCAGCACAGTGCAGGGACCTCCGGCTGCTTTCAAGATGGAGCCCTTCCCTGCCCAAGGATCCTGTCCGAAGGGGATTCACAGCCCAGTAGCTGAAAATTCCCCCTGCAAGGAAATCCATGTAAAGCGAACCCCCCACACGCAGTTCAAAGACACAGGGATGGCCAGACGGCTGCTGTATTCCATGAGTGCCCCCTTTTGAGCTGGCTACAATGGCCCCAGGTTCCAGACTGCGGCTGCCTGGCCTTGTGCCGGAGACCTTGGCCAGGCCTCTTACGTGCCTCTCGCAGGGTCCATTAGGCTGAGAGCGACTGCAAGCCACAGGCTGAGCCAGGGCGACGGCCTCTTGGAGTAAATACTGCACCGCCCAGGGAGCCCTGCCAGGACATGCCATGCCTAGGCCAGCTCCCTGGGGCTGAGGGGATGCCACCCCTCTGGCTCAGCGTGCATGGCCGAGCAGTGCCTCTCCCCCCCCGGCGCCTCACCTGTGCTTTGCGCCCCCTGTTGACAAAGGTGCAGATGGGGTTGTAGGCGCCAGTGCCACAGACGTACAGGTGGGTCCGGTTCCAGGGCTGGATCAGGCGGATGAAGTTGCCACATTCGCCCTGCGAAGCAGGAGGAGAATGAAAGGGGTTATGCAGGGCGGGGGCAGCATGCGCAGCATCCTCGGCACCCCCATGTCCACCCCAGCCCTGCTCGCACGGTGCATGCTCAGGCCTCAGATGTCAGGGCCTCTGGGGACTGGCATGTAGCCAGGAAGGTGTCCTGGTGTGAGAGGGGTGGTGTAGCCTGATGCCAAGCCTGGGGCTCCTCTGAGCAAAGGGATTCAAATAGCCCAGGGATGGTGGGGGTCAGTAGGTACTGTCAGGACCGACACCGCTGCGTGGCCTGGAGCTGATCCAACCCCAAGGACTCAGTGAAGGAACTTTCTCCACACATGGAGTCCCACTGGGAACGGCTAGGGCTGGTGTAGCCATAAGCTCCCCCACAAGCCAGTGCTCCCTGCCCTGCTCCGGGGTGCAGGCAAGCGGGCACCCCACCCCCTCTGCTCTGGGGCACAGGCCAGTGGGCGCACCACCCTTTTCTGCTCCAGGGCTGTTCTCACTGGGTCTGCATTCCGGGGCCAGTCAGGATGTGTTACCAACGGGTGAGACGCAGCAGTACAGCAATTACGGCTGGGTGTCCTGCTGGGCCTGGCTCGTTAGTTAAGGACCCAGGGTCAGGGCCAAGCATCCTGTTAGCAGCTCCTGTTTCCTCCGCGATGGGGGAGGGGAGCCTGGGACTGCAGCAGGGGAAGCCAGTGAAGGAGTCATCCGACAAGCTGGGGGGCCGAGCGGGGGCTCAGACATGTTTGTCCCTGGGGGGCTGAGCTCTGCGGCAGGAGCGACAGCAGCTTGAGCGACCAGTGGAGGGAAGGACTCGGGGTCAGGCGGCTGCCAGGCATGCGGGGCTTGGCTCCAGTGGAAGCAGCTCAGTGACCGCCAACCCCTCGCTTCCTCGGAGCCATGCACACTCGCTTGATGGCCTGACAGGAACCGCGGAGTGCGTGGGCTGGGGATTTCGGGTGGTGCCCGGCTGGTACCAGCAGGAGCCCGGCCTGAGCCTGGGTGTGCCCCAAGCAGCAGTGACCGCACGGCACACAGGATTTGTACCATCGGGCGTGGCGAGGAGCAACAGTGCTGGCTGCCCAGCTACCCCTCCTGACCCTATACTCCTGACAGAGGGGCCACAGGGCCAAACCTGCGTGGGCAGGGGCAGCCAGTGCTGCTCATCGCCGCTGCCATGGGGCTGGCTCCTGCACCAGGCCTCCCCCCCGGGCTCCCCACTTCCACTGTCAAGGACGGGGAGTGACGCTGGACCTGGGCGGGCCAGGCTGGCAGGCGGGGGCTGAGCCTAGCATGGGTTCAGGGGGCGAGATGCTGGGAGCAGCGGTGCAAGGGGAATGGCTCCACAGGTGCGTCCCATGGGCAAGATTTCTGAGGAGGTGCCTCTGCCCCCACGCCCACATTCTCTCCAGCTCAGGCCCTGAGACATCCACTGGAACGGGAGGACGTCCCCAGCTCTCAGCGCTCTGCCATGGCCACTCAGCCTCCCAGCACAACAAGGATCCTCCTGCAGGTTGAATGATGGAATGACAGAGCACCCAGGTGGAGATTCCCTGTCGTCATTACAGCCCATAGTCCGTCAGCTGACTCAAAGAGCCAGTGTGGATCTCAAAGAGCCAACCCTGAAGGAGTGCCCGGGCCGGCTCTCCATGCCCGCAGGTGTCTTTGCCCAGCCCCCGGCCGCGTGCCCCCAGAAGGACTCACGTCGTTGTTCTTCCCCGACAAGATGCACTCGTCGATCCGCTGCTGGGACGCGGGCCAGTGAATCTGACAAAACAACAGATGCCGGGTCGTCACCTGGGGTTTTCCACTGGGTCTGAATTTAGATCTGGCTGAACCCACGCAGCCGAGGCCTGGGCCCCTCAGAGAGCTCCATGCCAGGGTCTGCTACCAGCTTCCCGGCGGGAACAGCCAACAGCTCGGCCAGCACACGGGGATCGAACCAGGACCCTGCATCTCACTGTGTTCCAGGGGCTGGGAGAAGCCGCTCTGGGCTGACAGACGGGGAGGTTGAATTCACTTCTCCCCAATAGTGGCTCCACTTCTGGCCCACAGAGAAGGCATCTCCTCCAGTGGCGGATTTAGAGTTAGTGGGGCCCTGTGTGCAGCTTCATTTTCACACACCCCCTCGGGACTCAGCCAAGAAAAAAAACATTCTCTCTTATCTCCCCCTTTCCTGTTTTTAATTCATCCTCCTATAAATAATGGGAAGTACATGAAAATAAAGTGAGGTACCTTGATTGGGGCAGAAGGTTGGGGTGCAGGAGGGAGTGCGGGCTCTGGGAGGAAGTTTGGGTGCGGGCTCTGGGCTGGGGCAGGGGGTTTGGGTGCAGGAGGGGGATGGGGGGGCGCATACTTTGGATGGCGTGGCTCCCAAAGCGACCGGCGCACACACCCCTCTGGCAGTGGCTCCTAGGCGGCGGGGAGACCAGGGGGTCTCTGGATGCCTCTGCCTGCAGGCACCGCCCCCATAGCTCCCATTGGCCGGGGACTGCGGCCAATGGGAGCTGCAGAGTCAGTGCTCAGGGCGGTGGCAGCACTTGGAAACACCTCGCCCCCCCCAGGGGCCGCAGGGACATGCCAGCTGCTTCCGGGAGCAAAGCGGCACAGAGGGAGGGAGGCAGAGCGGGCAGGGAGCTACCTTAGCCCTGCTGCGTTGCTGCTGGCATGTCTCTGCGCACCCCTTGTGGGGAGGGGAGCAGCGGGTCTCCGTGTGCTGCCCGGGGTGGGGGCAGTGCATGGAGCTGCCTTCCCCCAGCCAGGGGCGCACAGCAGCCGGCCGCTTCCGGGAGCGTTGTGGGGCCACCAGCCACGGCATGCAGGCATCCTGCCTGCCTGAGCCCTGCTGCGCCGCCGGCTGGGACTCAGGGGCAGGTTGTCAGATATTTGTCCTGCATTTTGGGGTTGTTGGTTTGTTTCATGGTAAATCTGCTCCTGGTCTACTCCCCTGCAGCTCAGGCGCCAGATGGGGGAGGCGGCCCAGAGGTAGATAAAGGACCCAAGAGGGGCTGGTACCCTTCCCGCTCAGCATATCCTGCCCCTTAGCCCCTCCCCAGCCTCGGGGATGGACCCACGATCTGCTGCTGCTGCTCCATGCCTCCCTGTTGGCCAGGCCCCAGGGCCACAGACCGGGGAAAGCTCCTCCAGAGAGGGCCCAGCTGAGCCCAGTCTGGTGGGCCAGCAGGGCACTTGTGAGGAACCTGGGAATGCTCTGGGGGTGGCTTTGCCACGTGACATCCCACATGCAGTACTAAGAGCTGAGAAGAGAGGAGGCAGGGTCTGGGCAAGCTCATCCTCCCTTCCCCCACAGCTCCATCACCACACGGCCACTAGGGTTACCAGGAGTCCGGTTTTCAACTGGAATGCCCAGTCGAAAAGGGACCCTGGTGTTGCGGATTGTGGGGGAGTTAGGGCCCTG